CACACACACACTCACTCGGCTGTTCTCAGCTGACCCTCTGATGCCGTGTTTGTGTCTCAGATTGAGAGCATCCAGTTGATGATGGACAGCGAGACGGGGCGCTCCAAAGGATACGGCTTTATCACCGTGAGTTTGATTCCAGTGACAGAGACTGTGAGCAGAACCACCAACCTCTGATTGGTGAACCTGTGGGTCACCTGGTCACATTCAGGTGAGCCCGTTATGACGTGTCGGGCGTCACACGATGTGCTCTGATGTCAGTTTGCAGATGCAGAGTGCGCCAAGAACGCTCTGGAGCAGCTGAACGGCTTCGAGTTAGCCGGGAGACCCATGAAAGTGGGTCACGTGACCGAGCGGACCGACGTCTCCGTGGCGTCGTCCCTCCTTGACAGCGATGAGCTGGAACACACCGGCATCGACCTGGGAACCACCGGGAGGCTGCAGCTCATGGCCCGCCTGGCTGAGGGTGAGCCTGAGGTCACACCTGAAATCACACCTGTAACCCCGACTGTTGTGTGACCTCTGACTTCTGTGTGTGTGCAGGTACTGGTCTGCAGATGCCTCCTGCTGCTCAGCAGGCTCTGCAGATGAGTGGGGCTATTGCCATCGGAGCCATGGCTGCAGTGACAGGTAACAACAACATGGGCTTTAGGAGAGACGGCATCCCACTTTGGAGATGAGCAGCTCTCATTTCCAGAAATCTGGCCAAATTTATTAAACCCCCCAAAATGTGACAGAGTTGGGACAGGAAGCAGAGCTGCAGTCTTACACACCTCTCTCTGGGGTAACAAACCCCCCAGAAACCCCCGGAAACCCCATCTCCATAGAGACTGTGTCAGCTCCAAAGAGTAAAACAGTGAAATGTGGATTATTAAATATCAGGTCTCTGTTAGTACACGATAGAGATGCACGATACCACTTATGTCCGATACCGATATCATAAATTTGGATATCTGCCGATACCGATATGAATTCGATATAGTGTCTTTTATAATCAATAAAACAGTTTTTTATATCTTGCTGCATTTTGTATAAGTTCATACTCAAGTTTAAAAAACTCAACTAAAGCTATTCTGTTAAATCTGTAAGCAAGAAATACACGCAGCCAAAATATGTCACAGATCAGCAAAACTGATCAATCTAATAAACTTAAACCTACTCCTTAATTTAATGCATGTGTTAAAAAAAATGCACAGAAATAAATTATTTTTCAAGAATAATTAAATAGATTCAACATCTTTCTTCTACAGAGCTGCAGACTGCACAGATGGTTCCCAAAGGAAAAAGTACTACAGCTTACTAGGGTATATTAGACTTAACAGTTACTATATACAGTAATGGACTTCTATACATTAAAACTTTGGGTGTAAGATTCAGATAATTATTTATTAAAAGCTCGACATTTTAAATGAGAATAAGAAAGAAAAGTA